TTATTTCTTAATAAAATTATAAATTTTAATATAAAGAGAAAATTTTAATTTTTATTATATTTTATTAATAAATTTAGCTTCTGAGTTATTACTTTTAATTATTACTATATATAAATTTTTAATTAATTTAGCAAAAAAATAAAATATAAAAAATTTATATATATATTAATAAAAAATATTCAAAATTACTAAATCTAATCTTAATTCTAATTTTAATTTTTTATATATTTTTCCAATTAGAAATAAGATATTTCATTGTCCAATCAAAACTTCGGGAAAAAATAAGTAAATGTCAAAATATTGGAGTTTTAGCCAATAGATCATGTGATAAAAATAAACCAATCAGAAGTTTGATGTACACAATTCGATGTGCAAAAAATACAAAAAAATAATTGATTGACCTTATATTCAAGTACGTCAGTCAAAGAATTGACTGACTGACTTTATTACATTTCTCCTTATAAAAAATATTCGAATATCCGCCACAGGCGTCCCCACAAAGTCGGGATAAACAACAAGCCATTGTTATTGTCCTTTCATTTTTATTACATTTACCGTTTTCCTCCCCCCAACTGCCCTTTCCTTCTTTTGCTTTCTCGTTTTTCGCTATTGGTTTTTTAATTTTCTTTTTTTAATGGTTACTCGCTAGCTTATTCCACAAACCCAGTTTATCTCTGATTTATTATTTCAACTCTCTTCTCAATTCTGGTATACAACTATATATCTATCTATCTATCTATATCTATATCAATATCTATATCAGCTTTGCCTAGCTTTAGGCTTTAGAAAGACCTACTTCTGATTGTAGATTTTTCAAAAAGTAGGCGTAGGCGGTGTTTTTTTAATAAAAACGCAATACAAAAAAAGAGAAAGTAAATCATAGATAGAGACTTTAATAGAACTCGCGAGTTCAAGACACTCCCTCGTTCGTCCTTGTATAATATACTTATTACTAGCTCTACAAACGCGTCTTTTACATACCTCTTTATAAATTATATGCAAAATTCTCCCATTTCCCACATCGTTGCTGGTTAACAATGTATATGAATTATGGGCCAGCTTCTGTTGGAGTGTCTGTATCAAGAAATCAGAAAGCAAAGGTATTTATTATCTGAAAGAATAATAGATTTAAATAGACTTATATATGTGATGCGTTTTATAAAAGATTTTAGTTAAAGAAAATTAATTAGAGGCAGATAGCTAGCTAATATAAAATAAATTTATTTTTCTTTAATGACAATTGAAAATTCCTTGTAAAGCTCATTTCCGATTATGGAGATTTACTTAAAGAACTTTCGACACCTGAAATAAAGTCAATTGGTAATTATATTTTAGGGGAGGATCTTGGTCAAGGTAAAATTTTTCATAAAGTATGAGGCGAGAGCTTTTATTATTATGCTCATTTTCAAAAATAAATATTTTTTTTCATTTTCTTCCGTAGGAGCATTTGGAAAAGTTAAGCTTGCGACACATATATTAACCGGTCAAAATGTATGTTATTATGTAAATAGAGAACTCTATTTTTTTTAAATCCTTGATCCCCTTCCTTTTGGTAATTAACTAATTCGTTAAGATTCAAACAAATCAATAATTTGGATGAACTTTGAAAAATTAAATCGTCGAAAAACCGGAATTCTAATAATCAGTATTTGGCCTATTAATATTTCTGTTACGAAAAAAAAATTAGTAATTACGAGGAAGGGGTGTGTAGGAAATGGAACTAGACGTTTTTTAGATTTGAACAAAAAATTTAATAGTTATCGTAAATTTTTTTAGGTTGCCATAAAAATAATACCAAAGATTCATGCCGAGCAACTTACTGGCGAAATACATCATCATCGATATCTACATCATCCAAATATCATATCACTGCTTGAAGTTATACCTACTGAAACACAAATTTATATGGTATTAGAATATTGCAAGGGTGGTGAATTATTTGACCTTCTTAATGACAATAAAGGAGGCTTTAATGAGAAATTAGTGCGAAAAATGTTTAGTCAGCTTTGTAAAGCTGTTAAATATTGTCATGATAGAAGAATTGTTCACAGGTGAGAGTTTTACTTGAATATTGTTGAATTCAATTTTTGTCTAGTAAAAATAGATTGTTTAGCCGACTTTTTCTAAACTTTACTTTATAATCTTTTATTAACAATCAAAAAATTTCACTCACTCTGCATATGTTTTAGATGTTATTTATCATTTACTATATATTTATTTAAATTATTATATTTTTAATTTTTTTCAATTTATTTGCGGTATTGATAGAGACCTTAAACTTGAGAATGTTCTACTAGATTCCAATAATAATGTTAAATTAGGTGATTTCGGCTTTGCTCGTGATTGTGAAATAAATCAGCTTTTGGAGAGTGGGTGTGGGTCACCGGGTTATACAGCACCAGGTTAGATTTCTATTGAGCAGAGGCATCCTAATCTTCATAACGTTAATAATTTTTATTTTTCATAGAGGTTCATGCGGGCAAAAAATATTCTGGGCAAGGCAAGAACTTTATTATTAGTTTATTATTATTATTAGTTAATATTAACCAAAATCTAACTTTTTCCTTCATGCAGAGGCTGATATATGGTCCTTAGGCGTTATTTTATATACTTTACTTTGTGGCGAACTTCCATTTGATTATGATGATGAAGAAGAAGAGCAAGTTATGATAAACAAAATATTAAGTGGGACATATGAAGTGCCAGAATCATTATCAGATGGTAAAAGCAAAATTTTGACGTGAATTTTAAGCTTCAGATAATTAGTTTTTTTCAACATATTTATGGTTAACATTTATATGGATTATTTATTATATTATTAGAGGCTAAAGATCTAATTAAATCGATATTAAAACTTGATCCTACGCAAAGACCCACAATAAAACAGATTTTAAAACATCCTTGGTTTGCGATAAAAGATGATGACAAAAAAGATGATGATGAGGACCAGTGGATTACTACTAATGAAGATGCTGAAGGTGAAGATTCAATATCTTATGACGAAAACAGCGGAAGGAATACAAAGAAAAATAGTCAAAAAGCTGAAAAAGACAATTCAGATCATTTAAATGCTGTAAGCTATCTTGAAAAACAACGTCAAGAATTATTTGCCATAAAATCATCAATAGGTAATAATCATGAACAAAAGACGTTTAGCCCTCGTGATAATCATTATAATAATAACTTTGGAAAAAAAACCGTACCTTCCGCGTATCGACGATATGGTGCTATACAACAGCAGTCTACTGTAAGTTCATCTCCCCCTAAATCATGGGGACCATCAAAGTCTACCAAGACTTCAAGAAGACATTCAATTGATAGTAAAGCTTTCAATGAGAAAGTATTCTTTACTTCTGTTGAAGAAAAAGAATTGTTAGAGAAAATGGAAGATTTAGGACTTGACGTGGCAGAAATTAAAAAAAGTGTGTTAGAAGGTAAATGTGATTCTTCAAGTGGACTTTGGTGGCTATTATTAAGTAAAACGAGAGAAAAGAAGAAGAAAAAGAAGAAAAGTGAAAATTTACGAGACACTACAAGAATTATGGTTGATGTTGCTATTGGCACTAGTGATTTTGAGGTTAAAATAACGAAAAAAAATGATAGTGAAAAAGAAAATATTGTCATCGAAATTCCTGATGATAATATTACCAATTCTCGATCTTCAAATGATTCTGCAGATTTGGAGGTAGCTAAAACGTTAAAACTGATGGAGGATGACAGTTTTCTGCTTACTCCGCCACCTAAAACTTATCATGCAGTACCCGCCACAAGAGAACGTCGAAAATCATTAGTATTGGCACATCCCGAAGCTGTAGAACCTGTTTTAACAACAATAACGGCAACTGCGTCTCCTCCTTTATCACCCAAAAAATATTCTTCTTTTACAAGTCCTTTAAGTTCAAGATCCGTAAGTCCAATACCAACAACATCTGCATTACCAATACCAATACCTAACAATCGAGCATCACACCGTAAAAAATCAGGTTTCCTCTCAACAATAAAAGGTTGGTGGGGAGGAACTTCACATCATCCTAAAGATGGCGGTGCCGGCATTGGAAGTGGCGGATATAAAAAAACTGGGTTGAATTGGCCTGATAATGGTGCGGTTGTCCCTTCCGAATATGTACGATCAAGGACAAGAGCCAATCGAAGGAGTGGTAGTAAAACACCACCAAACTATGAAGCCAATAATGATCGAAGGTCATTGCCTCTCTCAAATAATTCACTTCGGGATAAAAAAAAGAAAAGAGGCTCATTACAAGGTAGTAAAGGCCGACGTCCAAATCCTTTAATGATACCTCCAGTAACTCCTTCTGTTGTGCTCTCGCAAAATTCACCTGCATTGACGGCACCCATTCTTGGTACTCCTCCTGCTCGCACGAAAGCTACTTTCACGATCAATCGACGCAAACCTTTCGCATATCCTGGATCATCGTCTTGGGGACGAAAGACGGTTAAAAGGCAAAGTAATGGCTCAATTAATATTCTGTTGGACAATCTTAATAATGCTGGATTTGTCACATCTGAAAATATGAACGATAAAAGTGATGAAATCGAAGATGAAAACTCCACTCATCATAGTACCAATAATAAAAAAATTGACATTAATAATAATGGCAGTAATAGTAATCATCATCATCATCATCATCATCTAGAACATAGTATTAAGGACACTTTAGAGAAAAGTGCAATAGAAATATCTGATGACGATGTTCATTGTCAATCTGCTATAGATAAATTGACATTAAATGAACAGTCAAAAATAATAGAATCATCTAAATCAAAAACAATTATATTAGCTTCTCCTCCACCTACGCCACCGCCGCCATCACCATCCTCCTCTTCTACATCTCTAAATAGAGAAACAGAACAAACACCAATATCGATGCAACAGTCTTCAACGCTATCTCAACCTTCAAAAATCAATCATAATTTAGAATCACCCTCAGATAAAAACAACCAATTTTCACGGCAAGTTATAAATGAACTATCAAGTGATGATGAAGATTCAGATGTTTTTGTTGACGCGTGTGATTTCCTTTCTATTAAAGCGACATCACCTTCACCTTTAACTTTACCTTCTAATAGTTCTTCGCCCATTTTTAAACCTGACGGGACAATTATGAATCCACCTTCCTTCCCTGTACCTCCCCCTCGATCATCTAATTCTTCACATCCCAAATCAGATTCTATTTCTTCGCCTGTTTTGTCTCCCATCAGAGATATCGATGAAAATAATGTAAAGCCGGCAGAAATTTCCGTATATCGAGGTCATGTTCCTGCGATAACAACAAATGTCTCTATCGATTTAAAAGATAGTGTTCAAATAAATTCCTCGACAGATTTACTTTCGACACCTCCAGAATCACCTATACTTCCTACAACACAACTATCATCTTCCTTTTTAAAACAATCTCAAGTTCTTCATCATAAAAATAGTATTCAAATAAATTCCTCGATAGATTTACTTTCGACACCTCCAGAATCACCTATACTTCCTACAACACCATTATCATCATCTTCCTTTTTAAAACCACCTCAAATTCGTCATCATCATAAACCTCGTGCTCGTTCTTCTCCATTACCCCTGGATACTACTAAAATATTAGAGTCCGAAAAAAAGCTCATTATTGGCAGTGCCGATAATGGAAAAGCCCAAAATGGAATAATATCTGAAAGCCACTCGAAAAAAGACTCTATATTGTTATCGTCATCACCAACAAAAGGAATTCCCCCTCTTAACGCATCGCATCGAATATTTCAAATGAATAATCATGTTGATCGTGTTATCAGACGTGGTAATCCTCAAGGTTCTCGGTTTTCCTTAACAAGTCGAGATAACCCGGGTAACAACAATAGCTCTGGGCTGAATGCTGGTCGTCGACCAAGTATGGCAAAACGACCACAAGGAGCAATTATTGAAGAGGAAGAGGAAGAAGAAAATGACGACATGGAAGAATAAAAAGTCATTCACTTCATATCAATTGAGTAGAAAAACATTAAAATTATATAGTAAAGGTTGAAAAGTAGTGTAATTTTAATCCTTTGTTGAATAAGATGGTATAAAAATTACAAACTTAATTTTGGTGCTGCTATTTATTTTTTATGTCAGATCGTAAAAATATTTAGTTTTACTGCACACCTCTATTCAACACTAAAAGTATATCCTATTTAGTTATTTTTACAAAATGGTTTTTTATTGCTAATAATATTTTATGAAAATTCATAATGCTAATTATATAACCCTTATTTTATAATAATGATTATTTCAAATTAATATGAACTAAAAGATAAATTAACATTTAATCTATTCGTTACAAAAATGAAATTTTCTTAACCAATTTACCTTGTCCATCAAGTTTTTGGGTTAAATTTGTTAATTACAAGATAATAGTAACGTGTGAAAATTTTCGTAGTTATAAAAAGTATTTTAAATAAATAATTTTTGAAAAGATATTATTATTATTGGGTACATAAGGATGGTTACAAATATATATTAATTTAGCAATTGACACAAATTATCAATAATTTTTAATTGATCTTTTATCAGAATACCAGATAGAAAAGTAATTGTATAAATTACTTAGAATACCAGAGAGGGGAAAGAAAATGTATAAATGAGATATTTTTCCGACTAAAGAATTCTAATTCGTTTATGTTTTCAATTATTACGATTATCTCGCATAACATTTGTGACCGATTGATTAATAAAAGTTCATTATTCTCTTGCATCATTAATCTTATAATTGATTTCATATCTAATGTCTAGTCTGATGTCAATTAATTATTTCACGTAATCGAATGTTTATCATTTCGTGCATTATGTATATCCAACAATAATAATGCGGATAAAGCTTTAGGTATGAGATTAATAAGGAATTCTAGAGGTAATTGTGAAACAATGACAAACGCTCATTGATTTTTTACCTTATCTTTTTGGACACAAAAAAATCAAATAATTTTAAATGGCAGAGAAGTTGTCACTTGCATATATATTTATCGAACACGATCACGAAACTTGCATTATCTCTTTTAGAAAACGGAAATTTTTCGCCTTCAATTTCCGAATTATTCCACTTTAATTTCATGAAAATCATGTGCAACCGCCAATTTTGGCGCAAAAGAAATTTTTATCATATCATGCAAAATTGCCTAATTACCGCCTACATGCTTTGCTGCAAAGAAAACGCTCGTGCATTTGTGAATTCATGCACATTAATTAATATATCGCTTGTATACACATGGATGTTTAGGTACCCACGAGGACAAGTTATGCCAAGTCGGCATGTAATTTTAGACTTTTTATCACATCCACGTAAACACAGAATTGCAAATTAAATTAATATTTTGTTGTGACATGAAGATTTAGTCCTCGTGAGTAAGAGAATATACGGAGTAAACTTCCGCCCGCGTATAAATCCGTTCTGAATAATTGTAAATCTCGTTTAATGGTAAACATTTACGCATTTAATCAGTGGACATTAATGAATAAAGTCGCATTTTCTGGCATTAATAACATCTATAAATAAACAGAAAATCTACTGTCATTGTTTTTTTGACCGACTATACATATATCTCACATGTGACTAGAAACTCTTGAAAATCATCAATTTAAACCAATTAAAATAATTGAAATGAAGACAGAAAAAGCCAAATTTCCCTATTTTCATGAGTGTATAAGGTAGACCCTAAATTTTGGGGGTGATATGCGTGCGTTGTGTGATGAGTGTACACACTTACACATACACTCATTAGCTGACATTTTTTGCCAACGCAGAAAGAAAAAATGAAATGGCAATTTGCGGAATTTTGAATTCGATTCCAGATTCTCACGAAAATCGTTGGTCAAAATTGTAGGGGTCAAAGTTCCGTGAGACCAAAAACAGCCGTCATATTCTCTATCAGCATTTTTCGTCCGTCCGTCGTCGAAACATAATTTCTTTCGCTTTTCTGAATTTTTGCATGCAGGAGAACGAACGATTGGGAAATTTTATTTAGAGAGTACATCGATAGCCACTAATTGATATTCATACGTTGTAATACAAATATTGATGATGTTGACAATGTCCTGTATGTATGCGCATGAAAATGTAGTATAGTGTGATAATAGATATATAATTCAAGTTATTGCGGATGGACCCGCCGACTAAATGGCATTATAATTTGAATTTAATACAATTAAAGGGAATTTGCGGCAATCTGATACATTTATCCACCCCCAAAGTTTTTTTACACCAACACATGTTCTCGAATTAGAAAGTTGATCCAACATAATAGCGAATGACCAATGCTAAAGTGCATGTGGTAAAAAAATTCTTGTTTATTTATAGTTACACAACTCGGCGTCCAATACCACATAGGTTGTTTTAAGAAACATTCGGGAAGTTAGACGGAAGAATTAATGGTTTGAAAAAAGTAAGCGAGCGTATGTTTATCCGATCATCATCACGTAATTCTTTTTGATTTATTATTTCAACGATTTCAGAAGTTTGATGATTAAAATTCGGGCACCAAAAGTTTTAAAAATAATGTCACAGTTTGTAGACTTCTTTTATGTGTGGAAATTATTATTGTAATTTTTCTTTGTCATATTTTTTCCCCTTAAGGTTTATTTTAGTGTCAGTCAGCTTATACAGATACATAAAAAATATATTATCGTTATATGTGAGTACAACTAGATTGTATTACCCGATAACTGGTTTTATATACGAACAATTATAGGGGGATGATTATAATTTTAATTGAATTGATGATAAATGGCATACCCATAAATTATGCATTATATATACAAGAATAACGATAAACACAAAGGTGTGTGCTTATGTGTGTGTGTTGTGAGTGTGACCAAAATTTTAAAAATCGCTCCGTTATCTTATCTCGCAGGGTAATACAACCTTAATGAAGATAAGTTTCACAAGAATCCCTAATAATAGTTTAGCATACTTTCTGACAGCACGCCTAAAAAGGCATATCAAAAAAATCGCATTGCAGAGGCGGCAATTGACAGTCCGTTTTTCGTGTTGATTTGTTCTGGCTGAAATACAAGAATTTCTTTATGATGCAATATAATTTCGTGCCCTCCCCCATTTTCCCTTTAATTTTTTTTTTGGAACCTCTTTTTTCTCGATTTCTCTTTTTTCGATTATTCAATTATTATACCAGAACCAGTAAAGCGGCTAAGTCTTCGAACCTGAATTTCCCTATGTATGCTATTGATAATATTCCTAAGTTCTTCTCTCTCGACGCATGCTTGCACTTTTTCACTCGTGCGTTATAATGAACTTGCAAAATACTTGTAATTTTTGACCTTAATTGCGTATGATATCATTAAGACCTTTCATGTATTTGATTGGTTTCAAATTACCCGAAAAAATTCTATTGGTTCGAATAAAGAGTAGCCCTAAAATAAAACCTGTTTTATTTGGTTTTGTTTACATCCCTATTCTCATGATGCATATATTACACACAATATAAGAAAACATATACACAAAAAAACAAAAAAAACCTGCTTCGGTGTACCCCAAAATATGTTTTAAATAGATGGTCGTCCGTTCGTTTCAGCCTTCCAGTTCCTCATAAAAAAAAAATAAAAATATTGGCTTTGGCTGATAAAATATTCTACAAAAAGAGTAAGTTTTGTGTGTTTATATTGTTCGCGTCATTTGTCATTTGTTATTGCATAGTGTTCTCGTTCATTATATAACACCAATACTGTTCCAATTCACCACCGCTTACACGCTTATTTTCTTTAAACTAAGTGTGGTTATTGTAACTAAAAATATGATAAAGAGCAAGCATAATGGAATAACAAAAATTATATTCCGTTTTAATACATTATTAACATAATCTCTTTCATTATTTAATCAAATATAGTTCGCTGCTGTTTATTACACACATATATATATATATATAAGTTTTCACGAACGCCAAGCATAATCGACGCAACGCGCGCTTTATATATATAACTACTTTTCGAAATACAAATCCTCAATTAATAGTTAGAAACACAAATGGGTCCAAATCACATAATGATGAATATCGAAGGCGCTTCATTCATTTATGCACCACAAATAGGAGCCTGCTCGATGAGTCGATCGAATGAGAATAAAATTCTTCAGGTTCAAATTCCAGCCTACGAGGTGATTTCTCCATCAACAGCACTTCAACAAATTTCTGACAATGAATTTATGTCCTTCGCACTTACCTCGAATAGTGGTAGTATCTCAGATCAAAAACTACAACAATGGTTAGAAGCTAATGTCGTAGTTGCTGACGCATCATCAACTCCAACGATGGAAGAGCTTCAGACGCCACTAGTTGAAAATTGGATGGATGAATCTTTGTTCACTAATAACGATAATTCGGGCGATGTAATGTTACCGAGTCCCACTGAGGCTAAATGTCTCTCACCAAATGGTTTGGATTCGCCGGTGGACAGCAGTTTCGGCGGTAGCAATGATATGGATAGTCCTCAATTAATAAACAGTTCCTCTTTTGATGACGCTATCCTAATGGACGACTCCCTTTCTTCATTGGATTTCCTGATGGGTCCAGAGACTGGATTCGCAACTTTATCCGACGGTAATACACTTACACTAGTTTCTCCGAGTCAAATGCAATGTCAACAACTTCTCCCACGTCGTAGATCCTCTCCAGCAATCAAACAGGAAGATTGCATTGACATGTATATCAAGCTCGAACAAGCTGAACATCGTATATCACATGCTTCCGATATTAATGAGGATAACAATGATGGTAAATATTGAATTCTTTTATTCGAGTATTCTCAATAAATTATTTATTAATTATTTTCTTTAATCTTTTTTTTCCGTGATTAGACTGCAAATCTTCATCAATCCGTCTGATTAAAGAAGAAAAATCTGGGAACAACTTCTCTTCCGCTTCACCATTGCAAGCAGGTGTGCTTCAAGTAGCGACAACTACAAATCAATCTGCTAACGTCGAAGTTGCTACACCTCAAAAACAAAGATCATCATCAGGCAAGAAACATACCAGTAACAAACCACCTCGTCAACTCGAATGTTATAATTGTGGCGTGAATAAAACACCACTTTGGCGCAGAACGCCTGATCGCATGCACTCCTTGTGCAATGCTTGTGGGCTTTACTATAAACAATATAATACTCACCGTCCGTTGCATATTAGAAATAAACCTAGCGCAACAACTGGCCCGTACAATTTGTCAACGTCCAGAAAAAATTCCGCTAATAGTTCAACTTCCGCTAATGCATCCACTGCCAATTCTTCCGAAACCTCCACTATTGATAATAATGTTAACATTAATGCTAATATTAATAGTGAAAGTAATGTTGATGATGAAATGATTACTGAAGCATCTCAATCATCAGAACAACTGGCTCGTGAAAATCAAGAAGAATCAGCAGATCAACAATCATCAGAGTCTTCATCCAACGAAACTCCCATACGTTGTGTAAATTGTGCTCAAACTCAAACTCCATTATGGCGCAAGAATGAAAAAGGCCAACCAATTTGTAATGCATGTGGCCTCTACGCTAAATTGCATAATCGAGATCGACCGGTCGCTATGCGCAAAGCAAAAATTCAACGCCGTCGTCGTGATTGGGGTGCTAATAATGGAAATAATGCAAATGGAAATGGAGATTTATCTGGGTCAGAAGGATCTTCCGATTCCGGTTCAATAAGTCCAACATCCCCACAACAAATGCCTCTTTCCATTCAAACTATTTTACCTGTTCAGCGTCCAATCATGCCATTAATGGTCAGTCAGACTCATATCGCTCCAAATCAACTTGCAATTATTTCGGCTGCTGCTGCTCAACAACATCAGCAGCAACATTTTATATCATCGGGTGGCGTCACTACTGCATTCATGCCATCGCAATTCGATTTTGATGATTCACGATTCAAGACATTAGTTGGCAAAATGAATAGAAAGCAAGTTGAAAGTTTCTTGTCAGTTTTAGAAAGAAGGTGTGACATTCTAAAACAGGTTCTTGATGAATCTGAAGAATCTTAATTATAAGCCGTAAAATTAGATTTTTTCTTGGTACTATAGGAATGCCAATTGTTGATCATCATCATCCCTTAATAAATATGCTCTTGTATTGGCAAAAATTTTATGTAAATCAATTTCTTTTTCCTTTCTCTCAATCTAGAATTTTCTTTCAGCATTTTTTTTTCATCATGAACTTTTTTTAGTGGTGGCTACTACACAACTATACTTACATATATTCCCCCTCCCCCAACAAATTTCATATGTGTACAACCCCACAATTTTTTCTATTATAAGATTTTCCTATATCACCCTGTGCATTATAAAAAAAAAACGCCACATTTTCATGTGTAGCGTACATTATTATTATTATACTATTAATTGTATATTTCTTTTTTTCAAACCGCTGTGCGTGAATTTCTCCTTCCAGTTTGGTTGATTACGATTTTTTCTTGCATTGTAGCATTTTTTTTGCCTTTAAGTTCCGATTATCGGGTTTTTAATTTTCTGTAGAATAAAAATCGGGTAGAAATATTATCAATAAGCATACATACATACACATACATACATTACATACATTTTTTTATTTCAAAAGTAATAAATAATGATTTCTAATATTCCGCCACATTCCCTTTGCTCTCTCCCATATTCATTCATATGTTCATGTATAAATTTCGGAAACAGGATGGAAATCAAGTAAAAAAAAATCTCAAAACATAAAAATAAATAAAAATCTTTTTTCGTCCATAAAGAAAATCCATTTTTGTTATGTCGTAACCTAAAAAATTTTATTCTCAGTTGTCACAGTGAACCATAAAAGAAGTTTGTTATCTTTGGCGTTAATTTGTTAAGGTCTGGCTGATTTAACATTTCAAGGAAGATAGTATAGTATATAAGGACATTACGAGTAAATGGAAAAAGGGACGTGAAAGCGCTTTGACGACTTAGGAAAGAAAAATTGAAAAGGAAATTCATGAAAGCGTACTTACACGTGCTATTCATGGTGAAGGTTATATAGGTAATACAGTTAATTTTAAAACTTCACAACTATATGAGGAAAGGAAAATATTTACTTAGCTGTACGCATTTTTGGAGGAGAAAATCCTTAATGTGAACACTATTTGTGGACGTTGACTAATTTGTTTTTTCTTGTTCTAATAACTTCATATCGGGAGCCATATCGTAAAGACGCTTCAGGTGCTAAGCCAACTTCTTGCCAAGTCCTTTTTATCGATCCTGAAAGCTCAGTGAGCATATGCTAGATGCAACATTAGCCTCACTTTGCAAGATGGTAAATGGTCTTTTGGATGAAGGCCCACATAATATAGAGTTTATCTTGTAAGCCAGGTAATGATTTGATATCTTGGTAGCAACGGTTATGTGCATAGTAGACAACTTCTGACTACAGCATTATAAATGGTAAGGGGTAATGGGTAAGCTGATGAATATTGGAGATGTGACTATAGAACAGATGAAGACATGTTTCTCTTCGCACATGAAATTCGAGTGAACATCGCGGATCCAATGACTAATATATTTTTGTTGATGCTCGAAAATAAACTTTTACTCTTCGAGGTATTTACAAGGTTAAATAAGGATTTTTTTTTACTTGCCAGTTCTTTCTTGTTATTCCTCTTTTTAATATATTGATCACATTGAAGATGGTATTTAATGCTAAAAATGATAATAACAAAATAATGAAACTAATATTAAAAAGTAATAATAGTAAAGTAAATTAATTTAAAAGAATAAGTATAAAGAAATATAATTATATTTAGAAAAGAATTAATTTTATTTTTAAATAATAAAAATATTAAATTAAAAATTTAATAATAAGTTAATCAAGTTAAAATTTTGATTGTTTTAAAATTAGTATTATTTATTAATCATATAATTTTTATAATTAAATAAAAATAATAAATTATTAAAAAATATTTTTATTAAATAATTTTGAAAATAATTTTATAAAAATATATTTTAATAAAATATATATAATCAGATTTTTTTATATTTATATTTCTTTATATTTATATTTCTTTATAATTATATTTTTTTATAATTATTCTTTTAATTATAATTAAAAAATTTTTATAATTATATCTTTTATAATTATTTAATTTTACTTTTTTAAATATAATAATTATAAAAAGATTTAATTATATTTATAATTTAAAAAAATATTTATTTTAAAAGATTTTTTAATAAATTATTATAAAAATTTTACTTTATAAAATAAAAAAAGTATTTTAATAAAGAAAAATATGATAATATAAAATTATATTTTAATATTAATTTTTTAAGTAATAAATATATATAAAATATTTCACTTAAAGATCAATTATTAAAATATAATATTTTTATTATAATATTTTTCTTTAAATAATTTATATAAAATATATTAATAATAATATTATTTTATAAATTTTTATTAATAATATTAATTAAATATAATTAATTTAATATAATATATATATTATATATTATAATCAGAAATTTTATCAAGAAAAGAAATTTTCTTTTAAATAATATATTTAAAAATAATAAAATAATTAAAATAATTTCTTGCTATTTTATTAGTTAATATTAATATTATTTTTTTAATAATTTTTTAAATAATTATTAAAATAAATATATATTTTTAAATATTAATAGATTCTTTTTGAATTTATTTTTTAAATTTTTTAAATAATAATTAATTTTTTTTATTATTCTTAAATTTTTAATACTATATTTAATAATATTATTTTTTACAAAGTTTCTAAATATATATAATAAAAGAAAATTATATTTAGAGTAAAATATTAAATTATATTATATATTAGAGTATTATTTAATAATAATTTAATAATAAATTTTATTTTATTTTTATAAGATTAATTAAAAGTTTTATATATTATTTTTAAATATAATATAAATATAAAAAATATAAAATTAATTAATAATAATGATAAATATATTATAAAATAATAAATATTAAATTATAAATAAAAACTTAAAATAAAAGTATTTTAATAAAAATTATTATAAAATATTTAATCTTATAATTTTTTTTATTAATTAATAATTTATAAGTTTTTAAAATTATACTTAGTAAATAAAAAAATAAATATTTATATTTTATATATTATAATTCTTAAATACTTTAAATAACTTATTTAAATTTTTTGAAAAAATTTAATTATATAAATATTTAAATAATATTTTAAATTAAATCAAGAATTAACTTTAATTATAATTAATTAATATAATAATTTATTAATTTGATTTATAATTTTTTATTAATTAATTTATATTTCTTATATATTCAAATCTTTCTAAAATTATTATACTTGAAAAATAAAATTTAATAACAAAAAAAATATAATTATAAAAAGATTTTTTTAATTATAATTAATTAATAACTGAAAAATTTAAAAAAAATAATTATAAAAAAAGTATAATTATAGAAAGATTTAATTATACTTCTTAATTATATATTTAATTACTTTTTTATTAACTTATATTAATAAGTATTTATTTATTTAAATAATAATTTAATAAAAAAATAATTTTTTTTATAAAAATAGAATTAAATATCTAAAAAATTAATTTTTTAAATCTTAATAATAAGTAATTATAATAAGTTTCTCGATTAATTTTTAATATATTTTAATATTATTAAATTTAAAATAAAATTTAAATAAAATATAATTAAATAATAAATTAGATTAATTAATAAAAAAGAATTAAAAAAAATTAATTTGTTTTATATTTATAAAATTTAATTTTTTATTATATTATTTAAGAAAATTTAACTAATTTATTATTAAATAATATATATAATAATTAATAATATTAAAATTTATTTTTTTATATAAATTATATTTTAATATTATTTAATTTTATTATAATTTTTTTTATTAAAATTTATTAAATTTCTTTAAATTAATTATATAAATTAATATTATTTTTATTTTTTTATTATAAATAAAATAATTTCTTTAATCATTATTAATTAATAATTATTATTTTATATATTTTTTAAGCTAATTCTTTAAAATTAAGATTTATTTTTAAAATTTTAAAAATATTTTTAATTAAAAGTTTTATAAAAAATAATATTATTAAAAAATAAATATATTTATATATTTTAGAATTTTAAATTTATTTATAATAATTTTAATTGAATTATCTTTCTTTAGATTCCTTTTAATTTAGATCTTTATTTTGTGCTATTTATATTACAGATTAGCTTATATTACATTTTTAAGAAGATTGATTTTACTCTAAATACACAGATAATTATTATATATTTAATACATCTAGATTTAACATATTATTATTCAGATGATTACTATATATATCATAATT